GATCACAAAGATTATGAGTAGCATGGGAATTTCAGATACTTAATTATGCTCATACAGAACCTGTACACAGAAAAAGAAACTGGTTTGAAACATAACAAAGGAATATTACATGGTTTAAATCAGAATAGATATGCACCAGAGTTGGATGTCTCACCATATTTATTTATTCATTCTGTAAGGAGCTCTGGTAGCTAGTGGTTACAAGTCGGGCTGCTAACCTCAAGGTCAGCAGTTCGAAACTATCAGCGGCTCTGTGGGAGAAAGATGAGGCTTTCTGTTCCTGTAAAGATTTACAGCCTCAGAAACCCTGTACGTGGAGTCGGAACCGACTCCATGGCACAGAAGCACCGCCATCACCACCACCATTCATTCTATATGCTGAGCAAGTAATATAAGAAGTTAGAGTATATGAGAGGAGGACTTAAACACTTAGTGAGGAAGATCAAAGACTACAAAGTCTTCAGAATGGATAACACAACATAAAGAAAACAAAAATCCTCACAACTGAACCAAGACACAACACCATGATAAATGGAGAAAAGATTGAGGTTGTCAAGTATTTAAATTTACTTGGATCCACAATCTATGCCCATGGAAGCAGCAGAAAGTATTTTAATTCCTTTTCACTTTCAGCAAGCAAAGTTGTATCCTCTACAAATCGCAGTTGCTAATGTGTTTTCTTCCAATTCTGATGCCATGTTTTTCTTCATATACTCCAGCTTCTTGGATTATTGGCTCAGCATAAGATTGAATAAATATGGTGAAAGACTATAACTCCTTTTTCTAATTTTAAACCATTCAGTGTTCCCTTGTTCTGTTCAAACAACTGCCTCTTCATCTATGGACAGGTTCCTCATGAGCACAATTAAGTGCTCAGGAATACTCATTCTCCACAATGTTGTTCATAGCTTGTCATGATCCACACAATCGAAAGCCTTTATGTAGTCAATAAAGCATATGTAAACATCTTCTGGACTCCTAGTGTGGCACTGTTAGTTAATGCACTGGACTGCAAAGTCTGCTTGAACCAGGAGGACTATGGTTCAAGTTCACCAGCTGCTCCTCGGAAACCCTATACAGGGTCACTATGGGTTGGAACCTGACTCAACTGCACTTAACAACAACAACAAACAAACATCTTTCTGGTATTCTCTGCTTTCACCCAAGATCCATCTGACGTCAGCAATGGCATCCCTCATTCCAAGTCCTCTTCTGAATCAGCTTGAAACTCTGGAGATTTTCTGTCAATGTATGCTTGCAGCCATTTCTGTATTACCTTTTTTTTTTAATGGGAAAAATAAGTTTTATTCACTTGGGGGACGGGCGGCCTCAAAACTTCTGGAACTGCTTCTTGGTGCCAGCGGCCTTGGTGACCTTGAGCACATTGAAGCGTACAGTCTTGCTCAGGGACCTGCACTCGCCCACTGTGATGATGTCTCCAATCTAGACATCCCTGAAGCAAGGGACAGATTCACAGAATGTTCTTGTGGCGCTTCTCGAAGTGATTGTACTTGTGGATATAGGGGAGGTAGTCTCGGCGGATGACAATGGTCCTCTGCATCTTCATCTTGGTCACCACACCAGCAGGATGCACCCTCGGATAGAGACATTACCAGTGAAGGGGCATTTTTTGTCAATGTAGGTGCCCTCAATGGCCTCCTTAGGCATCTTGAAGCCCAGACCGATGTTCTTGTAATAACGCGGGAGTTTCTCCTTGCCAGTTTCTCCCAGCAGGACCCTCTTTTTGTTTTGGAAGATGGTCGGCTGCTTTTGGTAGGCGCGCTCCGTCTGAATGTCCGCCATATTCCCAGCCACCTGGAAAAAAGGTCTGTATTACCTTTAGTAAACCCTCACTCGCTTGGAATATAAATGATATTGTCTGATGATTTCTGCATTCCGTTAGGTCACCTCTCTTTGGAATGGGCACAAATACGGATCTGTCCCAATCAGTTGGCCAGTTAGATGTCCTCCAAATTTCTTGGCATAGATGGGTGAGTGCCTCCAGTGCTGCATCAGTTTGTTTAAATATTTCAATTTGTATTCTATCAATTCCCAGTACCTTGTTCTTTGCCAGTGCTTTCAATTTACCTTGGACTTTGATCATATGCTACCTGTTGAAATGGTTGAACACTGACCATTTCTTTTGATAAAGTGATTCTGTGTATTCCTTCCACATTCTTTTGATTCTTTCTGCATCATTCAATGATTTGCTCAGAGAATCCTTCAATTCCACAAGTCAAGGTTTGAAATTTTTCTTCAGTTCCCTCAGCTTGAAAAATGCTGAGTGTGTTCTTCCCTTTCGGTTTTCTATCTCCAGGTCTTTGCACATTTCATTGTAATACCTGACTTTGTTTTCTTGAGCTGGCATTTGAAATCTTCCGTTCAGCTCTTGTGCCTCCTCACTTCTTCCACTTGCTCTAGCATCTCTACACTGTGGAGGAAGTTTCAGAGTCTTTTCTTACAACCACTTTCGTCTTTTCCTTCTTTCTTGTCTTCTTAATGACCTTTTGCTTTCTTCCTGTATGATGTTCTTAATGTCATCCCACAGCTCTTCTTGTCTCCGGTCCTGAGTGTCTAATGCATCAAATCGGTTCTTCAGATGATACCTAAATTCAGGTGGGATATATTCAAAGATTACAAAGTGGACTTGTTTTCATTACTTCAGCTTCAGTCTGAAATTACATATGAGCAATTGATGGTCTGTTCCACAATCTGCTCCTGGCCTCGTCTTGTCTGATGATATGGAACTTTTCCACCATCTCTTTCCACAGATGTAGCCAATTTGATTTCTGTGTATTACATCTGGTGACGTCTATGTGCCTAGTGTCTTTCATGTTGTTTAAAAAAGGTATTTGGAATGAACAAGTCATTGGTCTTGCAAAATTCTATCATGTGATCTCTAGCATCGTTTCTATCACAAAAGCCATTATTTCCCAACCACTGATCCTTCCTGCTAGTTTCCAACCTTTGCATTCCAATCACCAGTAATTATCCATACAGCATGATTGCATATTTAATTGATTTCAGACTGAAGAAGTTGATAGAATTCTTCAATTTTATCATGACTGGCTTTAGTGGTTCGTGCGTAAATTAGAATAATAATGGTATTAACTGGTCTTTTTTGTGGGCGTATGGATATTATCCTATCACAGATAGCATTGTACTTCATGACAGATCTTGATATGTTCTTTTTGATAATGTATGCAACAGCATTCTTCAATTTGTCAATCCACCATAGCAAACCATGTGGTTGTCAGATTCAGAATGGCCAATATCAGTCCATTCCAGCTCACTAATCCCTAGGATATCAATGTTTATGCATCCCATTTCATTTTTGATAATTTCCAACTTTCCTAGGTTCATACCTCATACATTCCATGTTCCGATTATTTTGGGTGTTTACAGCTGTTTCTCCTCATTTTGAGTTGTGTCCCATCAGCAAATGAAGGTCCCGAGGGCTTTACTCCATTCACATCATCATAGTCAACTCTACTTTAAGGAGGCAGCTCTTCCCCAGTCACATTTTGAGTGTCTTCCAATCTGAGGGGCTCATCTTCCACCACTATATCTGACAGTATTCTAATGCTCTTCATCATGTTTCAGTACTGAATAATCTGGTGCTGACAGTGTTCCACTGCTATTCATAAGGGTTTCAGTGAGTAAATATTCAGAAGTAGTCCATGTCTCCTTCTTTCTAGTCTGTCTTTGTCTGAAAGCTCATCCGAAACCTGTCCACCATGGATGATCCTACTGGTATTTAAATAACACACAACTCACCACAGTATGACAAACTGACAGAAGAGTTGTGGAGAAACATGTCAGATACTGTATAAATGCTCTCTCCCTTCTTTCTTACCTCTCATCTCTCCCTCCCTAGAACAACTTATTTTTAAGGATGTAAGATCACTGTGTTTGTCTCTCCAAGTAAAGGCTGAAGTGTCACAAAAGTAGGGACCACATTTGTCATATTAGTCATGCAGTGCTGGACACAAAACAGGCATTCAAATAGCTGAGTGGGTGATGGAAGAAAGAAGAGAGGAAGAAATGGAAGAAGGAAGACTTATGGGCTTCCTGGCATCTAGACTTAAGTAGTAACTCAGGCCCTCTGTCACATACCATATGACGAGTGAAACTAATGTCTAAAAGGTATAATGCTGACTTACATAATCACATCGTCTCAGGATCGAAAGCCCTTATACTTGTGCCTCCCTGCCATGTTGCTGTATTGCCTGCACCAACTCGTTCACATTTGTACCTCTCTGGTTCCATGGAAAGTTAACTATAAAGCTGAACTAAGTAGCCAATCAAAACACTGACGACAAGCTTGGGAAGGGGGTTAAGTTGTGATCCTTTTTGATCCATCTTTGCTCTCTGGAATCCTTGAACACACAGTACTTTAGAGTGACTACTGTGGGGGGGGTTTCACCTGTTGAGTTTCAGTTCTGACTAGTCTGATCAGTTGACCTTCAGCCTCTGCTACTGGTGGGAGAATTTAGCAATACAATCTGAGTTACAAACACAACCCTGAAGCTCAGAAATTCCTTGGCACCAAAATAACTTTCTCCTTAATTTACATTCCCATGCCCAGAAACCTGATGAAAAGTTAAGGGAAATGTAAATTCTCTGCCATTTGAGCCCAGTCACAACCAAAACATACACAAGCACATGAATCCATTCATTTCCTTCTGGCCATCTCCTGTCCTTGACCTTGACAGATACAGCCACTCTTAGAAAATCTTTAATTAGCCACACCTGCTAATGGTATTTACCTTCATCAGAACCAAATAAACAGAATATTCTTAATCCAATACTACACACATTTTTTTAAACTTTAGCCAACACAACCCAATGATAAAAAAGCAAGTAAATAAAGGCTAAAGTAACATTAGATGGAAGCAATTTTCCTATCAAATATTCTTCCAAAGCTCCATGATAAATTGCTCATTCAACCACTTCTGTCACATCCAATTAGATTGGAATCACATTTTATTTACACTTACCTCTGCCACTCGGTGGGTGGAACTGAATCGAGGTTGTGAACCAGCCAAAACACAGTGTTGGTGGGTGGCATTGAGATCATCTGTGGGAACAAATGACAAAATTTAAAAATAAAAAATAAATAAACACATTTATTAGTTCCTATACCTGGTAGCATCGTGGTTACAAATCAGGCTGCTAATCTCACGATCAGCAGTTCGAAACTACCAGCTGTTCCACAGAAGAAAGATGAGGCTTTCTGCTCCCGTGAAGATTCACAGCCTTGGAAACCCTATACAGGGTCACTATGAGTTGGAACCGACTCCATGGCACATAACCAACAACATAACTGATTAAGCTCTGGACCACATGGTCATTTGAACCGCAAGGTCAGCAGTTTAACTCACCTACAGGGTCTCTGTGAGTTGAAACTGACTTGACAGCACTTAACAACAACAACAACATAACTGATGTGGTGCTGTAGATAAGCACTGGAACTAAGGTTGGTTTGAGGCACAAGGACAGTGGTTCAAACTCACCAGTCACTCCTCGGAAACCAACTCTACAACCCTTAGCAGCATAACTATTTAACAAAGAGACAAATCCAGTATTTTTTTAAAAAGCCAGTAACCAAAATAAGTAACATTTATCTAGCACTTTCAAAAATCCTCCTTACAAGCTGACATATATATATATGTATATATGTATATGTATATGTGTGTATGTGTGTATGTGTGTGTATGTGTGTATGTGTATATGTGTATATGTGTATATGT